CAGCAACCAGAGCTCCATTGCGGACGCGTCGCCCATCAAACAGGAGAACAGCAGCAACTGCAGCCCCGCTCCCGAGCCCAGCGCGGCCGTGCCCGGCGATGGCGCTGACGCCAAGGCGGACGAGGCCCAGGCCGAGGGGAAGGAGCTCCCCGGGGCCGAAGGTAAGTGTCCTCGGGAGCTGGGCTCAGAGGGGCCCGCCCCCCGCCGGCCTCCAGCCAGGCAGCCGGATGGGTCTCCAGGGAGGTCCTGCCAAGTGCCGGCCCTCAGGAGGTGATGGTAGGAGAAAGGTAGTGCCTGGAGCTTGTTTTCTTGTAAGGCAGTTTTAAAAAATCTAGTCTTTGGAAAACAAGTGCTTTGGAGAGTCATAAAGTAAGAAAGGGGAATAGGGTGGGAAGTCTTGACGTGTTATGGGGAGGGGTTGCCATTTTAAATAGGATGGTCTGGGAAGGTGACATCAGAGCCAATGAGGCTCAGATGAGGCGAGGGAGCGAGCCAGGTGGATGCCTGGGAGAAGAGCGTCCCAGGCAGTGCAAAGGCCCTGTGGCAGGAGCGTGCTCAGTGTGGCTGGAGAAGCGGGCACGAGAGGCTCAACAAGTGAGATGAGGTCAGAGAGGAGGTGGGGCCTCCAGTGTGGGGGCCCTTCTCAGACCCTGGTTTGTATGCCGAGTGAGGCGGGAGCCGCCGGGGGTTTGAGTGCCGTGATCTGAAGGATCACTTTGGTGGCCATGCTTGAGAGCAGGCGATGGGGAGGTCGGGGTGGAGGCAGGGAGACAGTGAGGGGGCTACTGCGGTTGTCCAGGTGGGGCAGGAGGCCGCGAGGAGTGTCTGAGTGTGGAGGACAGGTGTGGGTGTGCATGTGTATGTACAGGTTTGTTTATTTTGGGGTTTCTGGGTGGTCTTTAAATGAAAGATATCCAATATACAGAAAAATGGAAAGAACAGTATAATACTCTCCTGTGTACCCACAGCCCGGACTCACCAGTTGTCTTTGGGCTTTTTGGGGGGAGGGAGGGTGGGTTGGTTGGTTGGTTTTGCTTTGCCTAAAAATATTTTTTTCTGGGGCATTAAGTTGTAGACCTTACGACATTTTGTCTCTAAGCACTTTAAGCATCTTCTAAAAATAAGGGCATTCTCTTTACGTGACACCCAAGAAAATGAACAGTAGTTCCTGGTTGTCTAATGCGGAGGTTGTCTCGAAGGCAGAGGTGAGAGTGTATTGGTGGCTGGTGCCTGGGCTGAGAGAGGGGACTCGGGGCGACACTCGGCCCAGAGAGATGACTTTACTGTCATCTTGATGGGAGAGGCGGTGGCGGGGTGGGGCCGGCGGAGTCTGGGGTGCCTGCTGATGCCCGAGGGCAGGCTTTGGGGTTGCAGGGAGGCTTCCGGGCTGATGTGCTGTTACCCGGGGGGGCAAGGTGGCTGGCTGGGAGTCTGGGCTTCCTGCTGCTCCGAGAGGACATGCCTCTCCTCGGGAAGAAGGCCATCCTGTGCTGCAGATTCACTCACATCTCGTTCCCTTCCCTCCTGCACACGTCCCCAGTGTCAGCACCGAGCGAGGCTTTGTGCCCCCCCCCAGGCCTCAGTCACAGCTGAGTCCCACCTCCTAACCCCCAAGAACTTACAGGCCAGATTGATACTGAGAATGACAGTCTACAGACGAGATCCAGCATGTGGTATGTGGGTGTGACCACGGAGCCCAGTGGTAGTTTCATTTTTAATTGGAACTTGATGCCGAAGTTTAAAAATTGAACAATTTCACTTAAAGTAAGATCAGTTTCAAGCTTCTCTTGTACAGTCAGAAGATCTGGCAATACTGAACCTATGTTTCCATCAGGCAGCCACCAGCTAGAGCAGAGATGGCTGCCCCTCCAGGGAAGACCAAGAGGACCTGCATTCACTCGTTACCACACTCCCCACCACTCCCTATTGTCCCTCTGACACTCAGGCCAAAGACAGTTGCCGTGTATTACCCTGTGATCACTGTTGCTTTTCTTGTCATAGATGTAAAAGGAAAATTCTTGAACTTTCTCTACCAAGAGTAGAAAAGTAAGAGGCCAGGAGGCTGGGGGATGCACATTTATTTGTGTCTGAATTAAACAGCCTGCTTGACTCATTTATGGCACTGCCTGGCCCCAAAGGGGGCTTTTGAATTCGTGATCAGATGCTATACAGAAAGGAGGTCTGGAGGCCTCCAGGAAGGCTCCCTGGAGGAGGTGCTTTGACTTGGGCTTGAAGGCTGAGCAGGGATAGGAGGAGACCAAGTAATCCAGGCAGAAGGAACCAGAGGGCAGCACCTGGGGGCGTGTGGGCAAGGTACCCACGTGCCAGTCGGACCTCCAGGCAGAGTCGGGGATGCAGGACACGAGAAACAATCCCGAATTAGGATGCAGGCTGAAGCACCCCTCCCCAGCTCTCCAGTGTCCTCCCCTCCTCAGGGTGGACCCCTGTTGAGCCTGTTCTGTCGCCTTCCAGAGTTTCTCTGCACCTACAAGCATCTATCTGAGCTGATAACCTCCGTTTTTAGAATGCTTTCACTTAACGGTCACCATGGAGATGGTTCCACGTTAGGACACACCTGTTTGGCTTACTCTCTTCACCGGCTTTTCATTCAATGACATGAACATGCCACGATTTATCTAAATAGTCTCTGCGTTGGTGGTCGTATGGGTTCTTTCTTTTTCCTCTGCAGAGTCTTGTCTGCATGTCTCCACATCTTGGCTCAGGTGTGAGTGGCTGTGTAGGACCTGGCCCTGGGGGGAGGACTGTTGAGTCAGAGGGTGCAGGGGCTTAAAGCGTCTGTAAGGCCTGCAGGGGCTTCCTCCAGAGAGCCGGTCGGGGACCGGCTGTCCCCCAGAGCAGGCCTTTCCGCCTCTGCGCTGTCGGCACTTGGGGCCGAGCGATTCTTTGCTGTGGGGGTGTCCTGGGCGTGGTGGGTACTGCGAAGCTTCCCTGTCACTGGGTGCCAGTAGCATGCTCCAGCCCCAGTTGTGATGCCAGAAATGTTTCCAGATGGGGCCAGGTGTCCCCCTGGGGGGAGGTGGAGGACAGAATCTCCCCATTGGGAACCACTGTCCCCGGGGCTTTGATGCAGCCTTCCACTGTGTACGGCACATGGGCATCTGCTCTCGTCCCCCGACGGGGCCCCCGAGCCTTCCTGGCAGAAGGTGGTGAGCCGAGAGGCTGGGACAGGGCTGTGGACACAAGACGAGCTGTCACTTCTGGCCGATACTTGCTAGCTGTGGTCGGTCCGTTTCGGGGTCCCGGGACCGACGGTCCCGGGGTTTACCCACCCCGTTTCCCGTCGGTTCGGTTCGGTCCCGT